TATAATTATTTATCTTAATAATAAAATAGAGAAAGACTAAGTAAAAAATTATAACTAAAGTCGGTAATATTGGGTGGACTCTTTTAATTTTCTTGTTCTTAGTTATAGATTTATAACCGTTCATGGAATTAAAATCAATCAGTTATATATGCATTTTAACTATCGTACTTAACAAAAAAAGTAGAGAAATATTTTTCGTAAAAATGATATTTGATTCTTTAAGTATGCAATATTATGTCCATTACCTTTTAATCAAACTATCCTTCTATAAATTATTACCAAAATATAAATATGCATTCTAATAAATATTAAAATTAGACATAAATTATCCCAATATCCATAACTTTTATACCTTTTTAACTCAACATCAAATTTTAGAAATGATATTTAAATAACACTTAACAATTGCACGTCAAGTATACATAGTTTAATATATTTATATAATTCTTAAAAAATTATACTTATTGATATGGGGTACACGCGCAAAGCACGTACTCTAAATCTAGTATATACAAAAAGATGAATAAAATGATAATTTACAGTTGAAATTCAAGTTTAGCTTTAAAAAAAGAAGAAGAAGAAAACCCTAATTTGATAGGTCCTGAATTTAGTGCAACAAAAACCATCCTAGCCATTAATAGACTATAAGGGCTAAGACGAACATAATCGAAACGAAAAATCCGAACAAACTTGACTATTTTCTTCATATATAAGTTATTCATAGGGTTGAGGATGGTTAAAACCTATCAAAAATGCAAATTGAGCAACAACAACAAAAACACCTATCTCTCTTCATTTTCATATGATAAATACCCCCTATATAATCTTTGTAAGTTTCCACCATATATAGATGATGAATTTAAATTATTATAATTTATCATTATCATGCTATGACTATGCTTTTTATGAGACGAGGGTATTATTAGAAATAAATTCTCTATCTTCACAAGGTGTGGGTATGGTCCGCGTACACACTACCCTTCCCAGATCCCACTTGTAGGAATTAAGTGCGTTTATTTTTGTTGTTATTGTATAATTAGTCATCATCAAGAATTTTGTTTTTAACTCTCTTTTTCTTTTTCTTGGTGATGAAAACATGAGCAGATCCAGATGCAGAAGTGATAGCTTTATCACCCAAGTCACTAATGGCAACAAACAGATTCTTATGTGAGGTATGCAACAAAGGATTCCAAAGGGAACAAAACTTACAACTACACAGAAGAGGACACAATTTGCCTTGGAAACTAAAGCAGAAAAATACAAAAGAAGTAGTAAAAAGAAAGGTCTATCTTTGTCCTGAAATCACATGTGTACACCATGAAACTTCCAGAGCATTAGGTGATCTCACTGGTATTAAAAAACATTACTTCAGAAAACATGGTGAGAAGAAATTCAAGTGTGAGAAATGTTCCAAGAAATATGCAGTTCAGTCTGATTGGAAAGCTCATACAAAAACTTGTGGCACTCGTGAATATAGATGTGATTGTGGCACTCTTTTCTCAAGGTTTGTACACATTCAACTAGCTTAATTAGTTACTATCTGTCTTAATTTCTTCTTCTTTTTTTTTTCTCTTAGTTGCTAAAAAAAAAGGCAGCCCGGTGCACTATACTCCCGCTATGCGCGGGGTCGGGGGAAGGGACAGACCATAAGGGTCTATTGTATGCAGCCTTACCCTGCATTTCTGCAAGAGGCTATTTTCACTGCTCGAACCCGTGACCTTCTGGTCACATGACAACAACTTAACCAGTTGCGCGTAGGCTCCCTTTCTCATAGTTGATAAAATTAATCCAAAAATCAATTACTCCACCGTTTCAATTTAAGCTTTTCGTTTGATTAGGCATAGAGTTTAAGAAAATGTGGATACCTTTGAATTTTGTGACCTTAAACTAAAAATGTGTACGGTCAAACTTCCCTATAACAACTTCATTTATTCGGATACTTTTTGGTTGCTATAATGAAATATTTTTAAGTGAATGGTTGTTAAATAGAGATGTTATAGGGAGATCTAATCCTATAATATATCAAAGTACCCTTTGAATCTTCTGACCCTAATCATGCCATGTAGAATATTAAATTTAAAGAGTTACCAAATGAGTTATTGACTTTGTTAGGACCAAAATAATCAGGTGTCATGTGGAAGCTAGCAAAGTAAATCTTGAACAATGATAAATCATATAATAAAAGAGAAATATACCAAAAGAGACATAAATATATAACGTGGTTCGGTCAACTGACCTACATCCACAACGGAGATGAGTAATCCACTATATAAAAAGAGAGTGCAATATATTGAGAGAATAACCTCACGAAGAGGCAAACACAAGTGACACACTAATACTTGTCCCGTAAAGTTTTTTCCCTAAACACGACTCTCAAACCTCTTATATATGGCTACATTGTAAATGCTACTGAATGAAAAGGAATGATCCTCAATTTATAGAAGCCCAAATCTTTTTCTACACGAAAAAGGACTAGTCAAATATGGAAGATTTATAATTTCCTTCTACAAAAAGAAACCCCAATTATGATAAACATATTGTCCTTTCCTTCAACAGATAGGAAAACCAAATATAGCAAAACAATTACGGCAAACACCTAACAGACTTTTAGGGACTAGACTCAGTACTTTAGGAATCATTTTTCCCGATGCTAATATCTAATTAACAATATAGTAAATAGTTTTCTTATAGTGACCACTGCTATGAGTTGTGTTTCCGCCCCAGTGTGATTGATCATTCTCTTTTGGAGCAGATCAATTGAATTTGATTAATTTTGTTTTTTTGTTGGTTTATTATTTGATTTATCATCACACATTTTAGTATAACACCACGATTCTCTAGTTGTTAGTGATGATGCTATTTGAATTCTCAAAAATGCTTGCCATCTTCTTTGGTGTTAGGGCTAGTTTTAGATACCCCAGGTGATGAAAAAGTTGTCTTCAGTTTTTCTACAGTTACAGATTCTGTATTTGAACTCATTTTTCACCTTTCTCTTATCTTCTTTAGTTTTGTTTGGTGTTGGTTCTTTGTTTTGTTCTCTGGTAGGTTTTTGTTTTTTTGTTTTGTTTTTGGATCTTTACTGGTACAGACAATGTGTACACGTGAAATTGTCACTGGTGAAACACCATATGGTCATATATAAGTTGTAAAAACAAAGAAAGAAATTAAAACAGTAGTACCCATGCATCTACATATATTCTTTCTTTTTCTTTAAAACAAGGTTAACTAGGATAGTTAATACCAGAATTTAGGTAGAAGCTGATTTATATCGATTTTAGCTAATACCCATAATTAAATGTGAAATAAATATTATTCTTATTTCGGTTAAAAATATCTGTCTCCTAGGAATGGTCGTCCTTTTCCGTTACTTTTACCTTTGTCAACTTATTCACGTGTTGCTGTGCCATGCAAAACTGGTAATCTTTGTCAGGTTTGTTCTCTTCTGGGTTGGCTAGAGGTTAACAGTCATGATAATGTTTTACACCACTAGAATTCAGAATCTAGAGTGGATTAGTTTTAAATAAATGTGATTTATATATATATATATATATATATATTCACAAGTGGCCTAGAAGATAGAGAAACTATTTTCGATAGACCTCAACTCAAAGCAAAATAAAAATAAAATGGTAGCACAAACATTAGCAACATCAAAATAACAAGAAAACGATGCAAATAGAACAACACATAAATGAGTCCAGTTGAATTCATTTAACGTGCGCTATATATAATGTCCATATCTATAGCTGAAAAGGGTTTCTTCACTTAAATTTAATGGATTTTTTTTCGACTGGCTGTTTCATTTACTGAAGATCCTGTCCAGGCATTATTTCACTTCTTTGAGTATTGATGATGTCTTTTATCGATAATGAAAGTTCACTCATTATTCATATATTCCAGTTTCAGCAACTTATTCTATATATCATCCTTGATTATGTTTCTCTCGATTTTGGCAATTATATTCCTCATTTTCTTTTCCTTTTTGACTAAACTTTTTCTTCTCTTCCTCATATAATTTTTTATATATATATTGTTTACCGTGAAAATGGTAATAACAATTAAATTTGTTGATGAAACTCTAAAAATACGTGATCTATTTTTATGCTAGTTGTTAAAGCAGTTGATGCAAGATATGTGAAGATAAAAGATGAAATGCGAGCTGAAATAGAGTTATAATCAAACCAAGGGGTTAGCTGTCCGGGCCTCGGACTAACCGATGAGGGGCCTCGAGGTCGATGCCTGGGCTCGGGCTCGAGCTATTGGGGATAATCGGGAAGGGGCTAACAGTTAGGATATAATTAAAAGAGGCTCTTATGGCCGATAACAAGCAATAAATGAAGAACAAATATGAAAGTAGTAAGTAGTAGCAATAATGTTTGGAGAATATGTTAGAGAGAAAAGAAAGAGTTCTTGTATATTTTGGAGCAACAGATTTACAAAGTGCCAAAGATCCCCCTTATATAGGAGGGAAAATTCCAGCATAGTACAAAATGCATTGATCATAAAGGTAGAGGGATGGGACAACTAGATAACATGGGGCTCTGTCAATATCATCTGCGTGCCTTGGGAACTCCCCTCTCCCCTATTATAGTCGTTAGTACGCACTACCCCCCGGGGCCGGTACGCGATGGCTCCCAAGGGTGGGTCTCGACGTCGGCTTCGAACCTCGAGAAGCATGCCCGTGAGGCAACCTACTGACGGGGAAATCGGGTCCCCCGTTTTACCGCATACAGATAGTCTCCGCGTTTCTTAGAGTGAAAGTGATAAGAAACGATAAGAAATGACCTTGAATTTCTTCCTCCTGCGATGTTCTTGCAATCGGCAACGGCCACAAGGTGCCAAGATACGACACACACGCTGCTCCTGCAGGCTCCGCATTGACTATGGCAGTTGGTTGCCTCTTGGCCTCCTTTAATACACACACGGTGCTTTTATAAATACTCCCCTTCTCCTTTTCTATAACCCATTGCGTGCCCAAATCCCTGAAAAGGTTCGCTCTTCCTTTGCTCTCGTTCTCTCTCAGTAACGCAACTCTTTTTCTTCCTCCAGAATCTTCTAAGGATGGCAAACAATTCCACCTCTGCTTCCTAGGAGGTTGTGGGCTCATCCTCTTCGCTTCTTTCTCTAGGTGAAGTGGCCACACCTCCTCGTGCTGAGGAATGCGCCCCGAGATCTTTTGTGATGACCTCTGATTTCAAGGTCGAGAGACCTTCCTCGAAGCCAAAGCATTGTGAGCCCGTGACTCGGTATATTAGCTCGGTAATAGACATCGGGGAAGTGAGGGCCAACTGCCGCTGGGGGGATATTGTGCTTGTGGAGATTCCTGCTCGGGAAGAAGATATTACGGCTCATAAAGCCGACTTTCTGAGTGTGTACACCTATCCATTCACTTTGGGGCCGGTGGGGTCATCCTCGCCCCCGATCGACCCCGTGATTCTCGACTTATCTCAACGTTATCAGGTAACCCTGGGTCAAATTCATCCTTCGTTTTGGCGCGTTGTTTATATGATCAGGCATTACTCAAACATGATAGAGGAGATGCCCTTCACCCTCAACCACCTAATCAGGATGTATAGTCCCCGTCTTCTCTATGGGGGCCTAATCAAACTCCGTTGTCGAGCCCCGAGGTTCCTTTTTACCTGCATCGAGGAGCCCGAGAACGAGGGATAGTAAGCCGATTCGTCCGAGTGAGGACTTCTGACCTGATTCCGGTGGAAAAGATGTTGTTCCCCGAAAGGTGGAATGCTGGACGTAAGTAAACGTGTTGTCGGGTCTTCCTTCGTTTTTCTTTGACGATATTTCTTCAAGCATCTAACTCTATTTCTCTTGCTTTTTTAGCCGTAGCAACCTACCCCGGTGCAGTTTCGGACCTCCAAGATTGGATCGACCGCTTATACTTGATTTGCCCATATGTTGAACGAGTGTGGCGAAATTTATCCTGAGCCCGGTGGGAAGCCAAAGATCATGGTAAGCTCTGAACCTTGTTGCATCCGCACACTTTGATGCAAATAGCTATTAGTAGTGTTCTTCATTCTTTGTGTTTAACTTCTGCATTATGTAGGTCTGGGGAAGTCCCTTTAACGAAGGAGGCACCACCTATTGATGGGGACGCCCTAGTGCCTGGCGAGAAGAAGAGAAGGTAGGGGGGTTTGCTGGTCGGGCCGCCGGAGTTCAAGAGGGTTAAGGTGGAATGATCCAATGTTGACCCGGCAGCTCTGACCTTGGAGACGGCGGGAAACCCTCGAGTTGAAGGCGAGGGGGAAAATAGCTTCCCAACGGTCTCCGAGGAGTGTATAGACTCGGCTGATCCTCGGGCCGTAGGGATGGAGGCTTCTGAACCGGAGCCTGATGCTGATGTGGCCCATCTTTGTGGTGGGGAGGCAACGGATAGAGTATCGAGTACTACCCCTGAGTTGGCTGGCGGCCATAATTCTTCCTGAGTTGAGTTGCCCTTGGTAGGCAGTTCGAAGGGGCCCAGCTCCGGGGTCCAGGGTGAACAAAGGATGGAGGCTTTGGCTGATCCTGTCAACTCTATGATCATTATTGATTCCCCTCAGGGAGTGATCCTACTGCCTCATGGAGTGCAAGATGCCCCACGTGAAGAGCCCTCTAATGCAAGGGCACTAGTCAAAGGCGGAGATACGCCCGAGAGATCGCCGACCGTTCTTGAGGGAAGTCCCGAGGTTGATGCTTCATTCGTTTTTGGCAAGATGGGCAGACTTTGAAAGCGGGTAATTTTTGCTAACCCTGTCTGCCGCTATGGGCTGCTCTGATCTTTGTTTTTCTAACTTGTCTTTTTTTGTGGCTTCAGGCTAAAGCACTTTACAGCCAGGCTTTCACCCAGTACCAGGATGAGGTGAACCGTCGCGAGTGTGAGAAAGCCCATCTTACCGAGCAGGTTACTCATCCCCCGTTTACTATTATCTGAATCTTTATGAGATTCTATTGCTTTTAATATCTCGGACCTTATTTGTGCAGTTTGAGAAGGAAAACACTTTGCTGAGAGAGGAACTTTGGGCCAGAGATGCTGAAATTTCCGAGCTCAGTCAGTATATAAGGGAAATAACTTACGAGAGGGACACCCTCCAGGGGAAGGTAACCTCAGTCGAGCGTCAGCTCCAGGATGCGAAGGAGGATAGTGACAAGTACATAGGTCTCCATTCCGAGCTGGTGGCTGCACTCTATCAGATCAAAGCCTAAGTCAAGGCGTTTGTGTCCTCGCACAGGGAGGAAGTTATTAACGCAAATGCTCGCATTGAGAGGGCGTCTGAGGGGGCTAGCCCAAATTTACCTCGAGCTGCGGATTGTGCCTGGCTAGATTCTCGAAAGTAGACCGTTGGAGGTATGTCGGATGACAGTTTGTGTGGTGCAAAAAATGAGGGTGGATCCCCGGAGAGGGAAAATGTCATTAAAAAGGGGTCGTCGGGGGACTCGTAGCTGTCAAGGTGCAACCCTTGGGGAGCCATTGAGAATGTAGGCTCGACAATGGATTAGGATCCTGTTGATTTTCCTGTTTGAATATAATACTTTCATATTGGCATATGTATAAAGTAAACCATGTGGCTTAGCTTCTTCCACTCCCCTTTTTGTTCGGAATTTGGCCAGGTGATCCCATTTTTAGAGTTGGCAAGAATCTTTAGATTCATGATACGGCCCTGGGGCTCATTAGGCAAGCTTGGGTGCTTTTACGCGCCTGATCGATGCGACATTTAGTATAAGCTGGCGTTAGAGCTCTTATGCTTTGCTCAACTATTTTGGGTTTAGTCTCTGAGTCGGGCTTCGACTCGAGCTCATTCGACCCTCAAGCTTCTGTGTTTTCATGGGCGGGCAATAATGGTTCTTGCACTTTGCGTTCGGGCATATGTATTTTAACTATTTTGGGTTCGGTCTCCGAGTTGGGTTTCGACTCGAGCTCAATCGACCCTCAAGTTTTGTATTTGTGCGGGCTGGCGACAATGTCTCTTATGCCTTGGGTTGAAGCGACCTTCTATATGTGTGACCCTAAGGCTCATTAAGCTGACAATAATGGCTCTTACGCTTTGCCCTTAGGCATGTATAGCTAACTATTTTGGGTCCGGTCTCCGAATCGGGTTACGACTCGAGCTCATTTTAACCCTCAAGCTTTCAAATTTTAAGCTAGCGATAATGGCTCTTACGCTTTTGGTCGTTGCGACCTTTTAGTGTGTGTGGCCCTGAGGCTCATTAGGCTGGCGACAATGGATCTTACGCTTTGCCTTTAAGCATATGTAGGCTTTGTTTTCCTCTTGTTAAGGACTTTTTGAAATGATTTTGCCTGACCCGTCGTCGGTTAGGGAAGAACCTCCATTTCAAGTCATTTATGGCGATGTTTGAGCACCTCGAAAGGTTTGGCTCATAGGCTAAGTAGCTCGAAGCCTTGTGATTTTGAGCTGACATGGTCGAAGCTCTTTTGCCTGTCGAGGGTAGCCTGTTTAACCAGTTTTTTCGAGTAGATTCGAAGTAATGGCCTATGATTTTGTAGCGAAGGTCGGGCATCCCCGAGTCGCGTTAATTTAGCTGGTACAGTTGTATGACCGTAGTCATTTATGTTTGGCCGGATCCATGTTTGATCCCGAGCGTAGTAGTTTAGGCGTCTACATCGAGGGTATGCCCTTTCGAGAGTCTTACAAATGCGACATATGGTCTAAACTTCAGGATTGATTTATGCTTGTAGTAAGGTCTTACAAAATTTTCATGCCATTTGAGATCTTACAGTTTTGTTGATACTTGGTACAAGTATGATTCATGCATTGCTTGAGGTCTTAACTTTTGTTGGTACTTGGTACAAGTATGATACATCCCTTGCTTGAGGTCTTACAGTTTTGTTGATACTTGATACAAGTATGATTCATGCCTTGCTTGAGGTCTTACAGTTTTGTTGATACTTGATACAAGTATGATTCATGCCTTGCTTGAGGGCTTACAGTATTTTCATGCCATTAAGGTCTTATAGTTTTGTTGATACTTGGTACAAGTATGATTCATGCCTTGCTTGAGGTCTTACAATATTTTCATGTCATTGAGGTCTTACAGGTTTTCCCATGTCGTTGAGGTCTTACAGGTTTTTCCATGCCGTTGAGGTCTTACAGGTGTAGTTGTTGTTGATACTTGGTGCAAGTTTTTTGAGACTGAGTCTGCCCGCTTGGGGTCTTACGGCCTTGGGTTTTTTAACGAACGGCGATTGGTGATAGTCTTTGAGTCATCGAATTTGCTTTGGCTCGGGGGCCGTTACTCGAGAGCTCGGAATTGCCTCATTGAGGGCTTATAATTTCGGAGATTCTGACCTTGAGATCATACAGGTGCCGAGTTATTGACGCCAGTCTCTGAATACTCGAGGCACTTTCGGTGGAGGAATCTTTGTTGAGAAAACGTTGAGTTTTCTTTGGAATATGAGGTGCTTTGGCAGAAGGCATTCTCTGATTGCTTGGCATAAGTACATGTCTTTTGTTGCCGTGGGTCCGGCTCATACGGGCACGGTTCATTCGACCGTTTGGCCCGGTACATCATTTTCCTATTTGAATCATGTCTGGCGCTCATCGGTTTTTTCGAGTGGGTAACCTTTCGGGGGGTGCCCTTCAGTGCTCGGGGTTGATTGCAAAGGAAGCCTCAAACACTTATTGTATTCCCCTTAGATAGCATGTAGGTGTTGCCTCGTTAAAAACCTTGACGTTAAAACCCTCTTTGGGACAAAATACGGTCGAAGGAAAAGAGTGCAATGCTTGCTCGAGGGTATTTATGAATTTTTTCGATCAGATGCCCTAGCAGTAATACCGTTTTAGCATCGATATATTCCATTTGCTCGGAAGTTGTTCGCCCTCCATGGTGCCGAGCTTATAAGTCCTTGTCGACTATTCCGAGGATACGGTATGGTCCTTCCCAGTTCTGGCCCAGCTTTCTTTCATTAGGGTTTCGGGTGTTGAGAGTGACCTTCCGTAGGACTAAGTCCCACATCCCGAAATACCTGAGATTTGTTCTCCTGTTATAATATCTTTCGATTCTCTGCTTTTGGGCGGCTATCCGGATCAGCGAGGCTTCTCGTTTTTCATCCAATAGTTCGAGGGTCGTCATGGCCTCGTTGTTCGAGCCCTCAATAGTGTGCTAGAATCTGGCGCTCGGCTCCCTGACTTCCACTGGTATCAAAGCCTCGACGCTGTATACTAGAGAGAAAAGTGTTGTCTCGGTGCTTGATTTTTGAGTTGTTCGATATGCCCATAGTACCCCGGGCAGCGTTTCTCTTCCATTTTCCCTTGGCGTTCTCCAGTTTCTTTTTTAAGTTATGAATGATAGTTTATTTTTGGACTCGGCCTGGCCGTTTGCACATGGATGGTAAGGCGTCGACAGGATTCTCTTGATTTTGTGATCTTCAAGGAACTGTGTTACCTTGCTCCGGATGAACTGTCTCCCGTTATCGCACGTTATTTCGGATGGGATTCTGAATCGGCATATGATGTGATCCCATATGAAATTGATGACTTCCTTTCCTCTTATTTTTTCGAAGGCCTGCGCTTCCACCCATTTTGAAAAGTAGTCAGTCATAAATAAAATGAATCTAGCTTTACCTGGTGCCGTCCGCAAAGGGCCGACGATGTCCATTCCCCATTTCATGAATGGCCATGGTGATAAAATAGAATGTAGTTGCTCGCCGGGTTGGTGAATCATGGGAGCAAATCTTTGGCATTTGTCGCACTTTCGGACGAATTCTTTGGTGTCTTCTTCCATGTTGTCCCAATAGTAGCCTGCTCTGATCCCCTTCCAGACTAAGGAGTCGGCGCCAGAATGATTTCCACAAGTACCCTCGTGAATTTCTCGGAGTAAATAATCTGTGTCACCTGGCCCTAAACATACCGCCAGGGGGCTATCGAAAGTTCTCCTGGATAGAGTCTCATTTTCGTCGAGCGAGAACCGGGCTGCTTTGGTTCATAAGACCCTCGATTCTTTTGGATCTGTGGGCAACTTCCCGTCTTTTAAATAATCAATATACTTATTTCTCCAATCCCATGTTAGACTGGTGGAATTAATCTCTGCGTGACCTTCCTCGACCACTGATTTAAACAATTGGACAACAACCCCGGGGAGTAGGTCCTCTTCTTCAACAGAAGATCCCAAATTCGCGAGGGCATCGGCCTCGCTATTCTGCTCTCGAGGTACATAGACTAAGGCCCATTTTTTGAAGCGACGCAGTGCGATTTGGATTTTGTCCAAGTACCTCTGCATCATGTCTTCTCGAGCTTCGTAGCTCCTATTCACCTAGATTACTATGAGGAGTGAATCGCATTTTGCCTCGACGGTCTCGGCTCCCAAGATTTTGGCCAGTTCTAAACCTGATATTATAGCCTCGTACTCGACTTCATTGTTAGTCAATTTTGTGATTTTTATGGATTGTCTGATTACACCGCCAACGGGTGGCTTTAGGACTATACCGAGCTCGAATCCTCTTATATTTGTGGTGCCGTCTGTGAACAGGGTCCATACCCCGGAAGACGTTCTTGATTTTAATAAAAGTTCCCTCTCTACTTCGGGTACAAGGGAGGGCGAAAAATCAACCACGAAGTTTGCCAGAATTTGGGACTTGATGGTCGTTCGAGGTTGATACTCGATATCATACCCTCCGAGTTCGATGGCCCATTTGGCCAATCAGCCCGATAGCTCGGGTTTGTGCAGTATGCTCCGGTAGGGGTATATCGATAGAACGCAAATATGGTGATATTGAAAATAGGGCTTCAGCTTTCGCGAGACGCTTATTAGCGCGAGAGCTAATTTTTTTGGATGGGGATACTTGGTTTCGGCGTCCCCTAGGGTCTGGCTTACATAATAAACAGGAAATTACATACCTTGCTACTCTCAGACCAGTACGCCACTTACCGTTATTTCAGACACGGCCAGGTATAGATATAGCATTTCATCCTCCTTTGGCGTATACAACAAAGGTGGACTGGTCAGATATCATTTCAGTTTCTCCAAGGTGTGTTGGCATTCTGGAGTCCATTCGAAGTTGTTCTTTCTTTTGAGTAAAGAGAAGAAGTGATGGCTCTTGTCTGATGATCTTTATATGAATCTGCCCAGGGCTGCTATCCGCCTGTTAGCCATTGTACGGCCTTTACATTGTTTACCACCGTGATTTCTTCGATGGCCTTTATTTTGTCAGGATTAATCTCGATCCCCCTGTTTGATACCATGAAACCCAGGAATTTGCCTGATCCCACTCTGAATGCTCACTTCTAGGGGTTGAGCTTCATGTTGTAACTTTTGAGGATGTCGAAAGTTTCCTGCAAATGAGCCAAATGGTCCTCTGCGCGCAGGGACTTAACTAGCATATCATCAATATAAACCTCCATTCATTTACCTACTCGATGCTCGAACATTTTATTAACTAGGTGTTGGTATGTTGCCCCTGCGTTTTTTAGCCCGAAGGGCATTACGTTGTAGCAGTAGGTACCATACTTTGTGATGAAAGAGGTTTTTTCCCTATCCTCGGGGTTCATCTGGATTTGATTATACCCCGAGTAGGCATCGAGAAAGGTGAGGGTCTTGTGGCTGGCCGTAGCATCGATCAGACGGTCGATATTAGGCAATAGAAAGAAATCTTTGGGACACGCTTTATTCAAGTCTTTATAATCTACACACATTTTTAGCTTGTTTCCCTTTTTAGTCACTACTACTACGTTGGCCAGCCACTCAGGGTACTTTACCTCTCTAATGGATCCTATTTTAAGAAGTTTCGTTACCTCTTCTTTGATGAAGGTATGTTTTACCTCGGACTATGGTCTTCTCTTCTGCTTTACGGGTTTAAATTTGGGATCAATGCTCAGCCTGTAGGAGGTTATTTCTGGCGGAATTCCTGTCATATCTAAGTGGGACCAAGCAAAACAATCGATATTGTTACTAAGAAATTGAATGAACCCTTTCCTGAGTTTGGGTGTTAACCCCGTCCCAAGGTATACCTTACGATTTGGGAGGTGTTTAATTAAAATGGTCTGTTCCAGCTCTTCGACTGTCGATTTAGTTGCATTCGATTCTTCGGGGGCGATGAAGGTCCGAGGAGCAAAGAAATCTTATTCGTCGTCCTCGGGGGTCTGTGTGTTCCTAACCTCGTCTGGGATCGGGTGCGTGGGGATCGGCGCCTTATGGTGGACTGCGAATATTTCTTTCACTGCCCGTTGTTCTCCATGTATGGTCGTTATGCCATCCTTCGTAGGAAACTTTATCACCTGGTGTAAGGTTGATGGTACTACCCTCGTGTTGTGTATCCAAGGCCTGTCGAGCAACTTATTGTACCTCATGTCGCCATCGATGACTTGGAACTTGGTGTTCTGAATTGCACCGGACGTGTCAATCGGGAGGGTGATCTCTCTTTTTGTTACTTCGCCGGTCATGTTAAAGCCGTGGAGGACTCGAGGGACGGGGGCGACTTGATCGAGCAGCCCCAGTTGTCCTACTACCTCTTATCTAATTATGTTGGCCGAGCTACCTGGATCCACGAGCACACGTTTTATCCTGGTGTTGTTTAAAAGAAACGAGATCACCCGAGCGTCGTTGTGCGGTTCTATCATAGCCTCGAGATCCTCCTCACTGAATGCGAGGGTGTCTTCAGGCACTTTCGGGTCGGTCCCTCTTTTGTAGTGGACGTTCTTGTCCGTTTGAGCATGGGTCCTTGGGGGACGTTGGTTCCTCCAATAATCATATGGACATCGTGTCGGAGAGTCTCCCTTTCCGCCCGAGTTGAGTTTTGATGTGGTGTATCGACATCTGGAGTAGTCATGTCCTTCTCCTTGTGGTTTTTGAGGTTGTTGTTCTCAACTCTATTTATTGAGCCAGACATTTTGTCCTGAAATCGAAGATCTTGGACAAGAAAAAGTGTGAAAGGCAACTTGCGTTGTGTAATGAAACCAGCAAGAAAATAATCACTATTAAATTTATTGATGAGACTCTAAAAATACGTGATCTATTTTTATGCTAGTTGTTAAAGCAGTTGATGCAAGTTATGTGAAGATAAAAGATGAAATGCGAGCTAAAATAGAGTTATGATCAAACCAAGAGGTTAGTTGTCTGGGCCTCGGACTAACCGATGAGGGGCCTCGAGGTCGATGCCTAGACTCGGCTCGAGCTATCGGGGATAATCAGGAAGGGGCTAACAGTTAGGATATAATTAAAAGAGGCTCTTTATGGCCGATAACAAGCAATAAATGAAGAACAAGTATGAAAGTAGTAAGCAATAGCAATAATGTTTGGAGAATATGTTAGAGAGAAAAGAAAGAGTTCTTGTATATTTCGTGTAGAATAGTTGGAGCAACAAAGTTTACAAAGTGCCAAGGATCTCCCTTATATAGGAGGGGGAATCCCAGCACAGTACAAATTACATTGATCATAAAGGTAGAAGGATGGGACAACTAGATAGCATTGGGCTCTGTCAATATCAGCTGCGTGCCTTGNATATATATATATATATATTCTGGTGTTTCCCCAACAACATTAATTTGACAATGACATGGCCAAAGTCCAAACTATAGCTTGAATTTATTGAATGTAAATGCATTTTTAACTACATGTTTGTCTCCAAATTTTGTCCTTATGTAGCTTTTCTACAATATCCTTCTCCTTGGTCAAATTGACCAGTTTCGTCATTTTTAGAATGGGACCACTCTTTAAATTACTTGAGCCCACTTTCAAGTCAATTTCCATGACGAGTTTCAGTAAATTCAGTGTATGGTAAAAGTGAAGTTTTTACCTAGACTAGCTAAAGACATTCTTGTATTAATTACTATGTGTTCTACAATTTGTTTTTATCTTGTGGTTATATGTGACAATCTCATTAAAAACATATGATTGTCATTGTCATTAATTAGTATAATTTGAATTGAATATAACTTATATATACTGACAATTTAAAAAAAATTGCACTATTACTATTGAAGTTTAACTTGTCTTATTTGTCAAGTTACTATTCTCACTTATCATACATCAATTAACATTACTTGTAACTACGAATGATCTCATAATGTACAAATTTTTTTACATGTCAGTTTATAGAAGTTAAACCGCAATCAGATTTAACAAAGATGTTTTGAACTTTTTTGTCTTTATGTTTTGGTCGTTTCAATCTCTGCTACGAACTTCATCTAATTTGTCTCTAATTTTTGGATTTTTTCTTTTTAACCTTTATTTTACGTATTATTTTCTCATTGAAAGAGTTCTTGTTATTGTTTCTCTATTAATTGGTTGTATCTCATTTGTGTTTTACACAGGCGTGACAGTTTCATCACACATAGAGCCTTTTGTGTTGCCTTGGCTCAAGAAACTGCAAGAAATCCAGTACCAATACACAATTTAGGCAACTTCTCCAAAATGCAGAATTCCACAATTTTAGATCAAAAATACCCTTCTTCTAATTCCATTGATATATTGAGTTTGGGAAATACCAAAACTACCCATAATCAGCAGTTCAATCACAACCTCATTGATACATCCAATATTGGCTCAAATACTAGTAATTCCTTTTTCTTTCAAGAATCCAATCAAGATTATGCCAACATTAAACCAATCCATGACCTAATGCAACAACTCCCAAATTTTCACAACAACAATATGTTTAACCTCAACTTTTTCCAAAATAATGATGGAAATAGCAATATGTCAAGTGGAATTTTGGGTGATCAAAATATTAGTTGTTCAATCCCTTCTCTTTATGGTTCACAAGTTCAGAACCATAATCTTAATAGTACTACTACTTCTTCAGTTGCACCAATGTCGGCCACTGCACTTCTTCAAAAAGCAGCTCAAATGGGATCTACTACAAGTAATATTAGCACTACTGCCTTATTGCTGAAAGCCTTTGGAAATAGTACTAATGGTGGTAATTCATCCTCTAGTGGCACAAAATCTGATCATCAAGTTGTCAACTTTGGCGACAATTTCAGTGACCATAGTGGGAACCACTTGCGCGACATCAATGGCGAAGCCAAAAATTTTGGTAAGAATGTCCGATCTTTATTAGGAATCTTTGCACAAATAGCTGATCAAATTCACTATTTACTTTTTTCGAATCGGTATACATATATTATACACTGATTATACCTGGTTATATGACCATAGTGGGAACCACTTGCATGACATCAATGGCGAAGCCAGCATTTCGGTAAGGATGTCCAATATAGGGGTCTTTACCCATATAGCCGATCCTATTCACTAATTACTATATATAGATTATACACTGATTATACCTCGTTATACACATATTAACAGCTTACTATTTTTGGGTAAGGCTATCTAATACTATATAATAAGGGGTCTTTACAAAAATAGCGACCGAATTCACTATTTACTTTTTCGAGTCGGTATATATAAATTATACAATGATTATACCTGGTTATACACACGTTAACACATATTAATATGAATTATACATATATTATACATCTGTCGAATATTTTTTATTTAAATGATTAGGCCAGTGACTATTTAGGTTAATTCTTCTATTTACATATAAGAAGTAATATTTGAAACTATTACATATATAGTATGTACACAATAAAATTTTCTGCTAAGAATGTTCGACTGACTACCCTCCGTCATATGTAGGTACGCCCGCTGACATTGTGAATGGTGTCAATGCTTATGGACATGACCAAAATGACTATGGAGGAGGATACAACGCAGCAACCAAATTGAACTTTGAGGAGCAACAGCACCAATTACCACCACAGAAGAAACAGTTAACTAGAGATTTCCTTGGAGTTGGAGAAATAGTAAGAAGTATGAGTGGGGGATTTAGTAGCCAAAGGGAGCAACAACAACAACAACAAAGCAATCAGAGTTTTATAAGTCCTGAAAATTTTCAGTGACGTTCAAGAAAAGGTGAAAAAAGTTCAAATACGACAAAAGGAATGCACAAAAAAGTACAGGTAAAAGTTTAATTTTTTTTCTAAAAAAAATAGTAGTACTATTAGATTATTCTAAGAATGTCTCAATCTGTATATCATTTTCTCATGAATTTTTTTTAAACGTTGCGAAAGGGGAACCAGGTGCTCAGCTAATTACGTAATTAGTAAGGTTTAATTCTGCTTGAGCAATAATTAGCTTTATATATTTGCTGATTCTAGGAAAAATTTCCTATGTTTCTTGTGATATGGTGTCTATCTCATTCAAATGATTTGGTAGCCAATTTTGTTGAGTTGGTTTGGTTTGGTAGCCAACCTTGTTG